AGGGAGGATCAGGAAAATGCAAATTTTTTTCGCAAACTCCCAGTGCAATTTTTTTTTGATAAAATTCCATCATTTGGACTCAACATCACCCTCTATGAGTTTCATTTGGGTCCCATGCTCAAAAGTCAAGATTCAGCATACTGAAAAATCCTGGATACGTCACTGCATCTAAATGATAATGTTTTTTTTTTAAGAATCAGATTCTCCTGATAATACTGAACGTCGTATATCAATCTTCACTGGTTTAATTAATATGTTTAATCAAATACGAGCATATTATCATGTCGGATCCGAACAATCTTCATTACCTGTTACATCAACTTCTTCAGCATCTTCTACACCTTATTTTACATTTGTACTCTGGTCATTAGTAGCTATTAAAGTTTATCAATTTTATTGGTATCTTGGACGAATATTGATATTTGTTATTATTTATAAAACTATTAAAAAAATACTAATTGAAACATATATTTATTTGATGAAGAAAGAAAGTGTGCAATACGTAATTCAACGAATAATTGATTTTTTGCAAGCACGGTAAGTTTTTTTGATTTTTTTTTTTGTAAATAAATTTCGTTTTTAAATATAATTAGACGTGATGTATTAACTCCATCACCTTTACATGGTCTTGTTCGTTTTCTTATTAAAGGTGATAAAAAATTTAACTATGGCTTACAAACATCTATTGATTATCTAGTCAGTGCAATTATGATTGTTACATTACTTATTACAGTTCTTTTTGGTACAATACTTCTTATTATACAGGTTTTGTTTTATTTTGAGAAATTAATTAAAAAAAACGTTTTTTTTGTTTTTGTTTTTATTTAATTTTAGATTCGTCATGAAAGTATACATATGGTTAAATTAACAAGTAATCTTATTAATGAAACAATTGTACTACAACCATCATTTCAACATATGTTACCTGATAAAGAACATATGGGTAAATTAATGGATACAGCTGTGAATAATTTTTATTCAGTCGGAAGAACTTGGATTGCAAAACAGGTTAGAAGGAAATAAATATATTATAATTGATTTATTTCATACTCCTAAAACAAAACAATTTTCTCATAAATCGATCAAAATAAGTTTTCAAGATCAATTCGAATATCTATTTTGGTCAGTTTTAAGAAAAATATCATCAATAGAAAGTCTTACATTTATGAAAATCTTGATATTTCTTGAATGAAATTCTCTTATTGATATATCCTCTTGGAAAAAAATAGTGTCACACGATATTCTTGATATATCATCATTATAAAATTAACATTTTGAGTAACGTAGTTATATATTCGGATAGCCTGTGGAATTCTCTACAAATCTATATATGTACGTTTTAAATTGCACTTGTTTGCTAAAAATAAATTCAAGCACAACAAAGGTACCCTCATCGCCAGATTCCCGAGAAACGCATTT